CAGTTGCCATGAAGGGCAAGGGTGGGCTGAGAGAAGGTTGTTCGATGTACGTAGATGCCAAGAAGGCACCTGGTGCATGAAACATGCTGTGTAGCAGGTGCACTGTACCACACCTGCCTAAGTATGTTACGCTCAAGCAAGATCGCGAAGATCATTGATTCAGCGATTCAGTGATTCATACGAATCGCCTAGTTCCGGCTCTTCCAAGCGCTGGCGTGCTGACTCACTTCTTGCCGGGCTTGCCACCCGCGGACGGGCGCTTGCCCGAATTCGCCGGCAACGCGTGAGACGCCAACTTGAGATCCTGTCCGTTCCAGACGAACTGACTGAATGACTGAATGACTGACTAAATCTGCTGCTAACTACCGAACGTGCTAACTGCAAACTGCGATTGACTTCCTCATCACGTGCACTTGGCTCCATCCGGCCTTCTGCATCTTCTCCAGCAAAGCAACAGCCTTGGCAGGCTGGTCCTTGCGCGTGAGCAGCAAGTGCGTGCTCGCGAACTTGAGGAATGCGGTCACGTCCTTGGCAAGTCTTGCCGGCTCGCTGCGGTCCTGCGTAAAGAGATCAAGTGACATGAAGGCGAACGTGGCCGCCATCATTTCCGAACATGTCGGTCCCAGCTTGTACGCTTCGGTCATGATTTTCAAGGTCTCGGCTGGAATCGTGTCCGTCATGTCCGACTCCCGGTTGATGTAGCACTGCAAGACATACTCGGTGTCGCGCATAGCCTTTGCACCTGCAATCTACACACCGCGGCACCACTAGGTTTTCAGAATTCGTACGACAATCATATGTTTGGGTGGTTTTGCTATCGTGTGTGGTAAAACGGTCGACGGTAACTTATGAATGTATAAATAAATTATAAATGATAAATTATTATAAATTATAAATTATAAATAATTATAAGCAAAAATTATTATAAAAATTATAAATTAATAATACATTTTAAATTTTACATAAATATAAATAAACCTACAAACTCATAACATTTCATACTATGTAGCAGTAGCAGTACTAGAACTAGGACTTGTACTTGTACTGCACCAAATACGAAATAATATGCGACTCCTAAACCCTAAATATGACAGGAAAATAAAAATATAAAATA